GGGCCCTGACAGCTATGAGACCGACACCATGATGCAAACCTTCCTCTCACTTTTCTGTAGAGTTGCATCACCGGTGACGACTGTGGGAAGGGACGGTACTGCCTCTCTGACACGTCCAGATGTCTCCCCTGTAAAGCCGTCGACGTGGTGAGTCAACACAAGTCACCTCTCTGTCATGTTCTCTCTTAGGTCTGTTTCTTTCAAACACACACTTCCAGGCTTCTTGGGTTTCACATCAGCTGCATTGCAGTGCGTCCACAAGTGTAACTGGAGTGAGTTGTCTGCGAGCACTCCGTCCTGTGAGCTTCACATGAAAGGACAGCAAGTCAAGGTTAAATAAGAGCTCTTCCCTTCATTCTGCCGCCTCGAACAAAAATAATATCGCTCATGTGAGCCTTCTCGTCTCATTGGTTTCACTGAACACTCGGTTATGACTGAACTGCTGACTCTGTGGAGTCTTCACTGGATGAATTGGTCTCAGTGTGGCAGAGTTATTAAAAAAAAGGCAATGCAAAGGGATGAAGACGCTGGCGGTCTGCCAAACAAGAGTCCAGTGTGCCGGGATAATAAACACACGGCGGACCGGATCTGCGTCTTGTCAAAATCGCTGCACTAAAAAAAAAAAAAAAAAGTCTGCATGGAAACAACCAGAACAGCGTTTGCCGTGTCCCCGTATTAACAATTCATGGAGGCTTTAATAGGAGCTCTTCTCACCGCGATCAGAGACCAGTTGACCCGCTGATCTCATTCATATTTAATCAAGAGAAAAGTCAGTCGGCTTCGTGCTCAGAGAGTCATCAGCGTCATTAACGCTGCTCCCAGTTCCAGCATTGTTCAACTGAAAGCTGCTTTTGTCATTTCTGTGGCTCTTGAAGCGCTGATATTGTGATTTTTTGTGTGTTTTCCTTCACAGCCATACAGCCTCTGTTACGTATCACGGTGTTACACATTTGCATGATACCTGCTTTTTTTGCACAGCTTCACGAATAGAATGAGCAGCTTCCTCGCATCATTTCTTCACTAGAGTCACTTCTACATGGGGTACATCCCTACACTGACAGATCCACCGTTATAGTACATCTTACCCAGCTTGCCTCGCTTTCGTCTGGCCAATCAGAGCAGACTGAGCAGAGAGGAGGGCCTTCAAGACACAGTATAGGAAAAATAATGTATTTTCTGACCATTACAGTGTGTGAACATATTCTAGTGACCCCCAAGAATTCAGTCATAAGTCTGAGGGACTCTTTCAGACATCAGTCCTGCAGAAAGAGTCGTCCGCTGTTGGTTTGCTGACTCCTCAGTAAAGAGAATAAAGGCCATGTTTCCTGTCCTGTCAGCCCTGCACTAAGGATGACGAGTGCTGCGGTGAACAGCTGTGTCTTTGGGGCCAGTGCAGCCAGAACGCCACCAAAGGGGAGCCTGGCAGCACCTGTCAGCACCAGACTGACTGCAACCCAGACCTCTGCTGCGCTTTTCATAAAAGTACGGTACAGAACACAGCAGAGCAACCTGCATGTTCATCAGCGGCTCTTTGCTTTCTCTCAGACACTGTGTTTTCCTTTGTGCGTTCAGCCCTGCTCTTCCCCGTCTGTTCGGCCAAACCCATCGAGCGCGAGCGCTGCTTCGGTGCCTCCAACCACCTGATGGAGTTGCTGTCGTGGGACATGCAGGACGATGGGCCCAGGAAACACTGCCCCTGTGCAGGAGATCTCCACTGCCAGCACCTGGGGTGAGAACTACACGTTTTCTCAAGTCGTCAGCGACATATGAGCTTGTTAAAAACGTGCAACTTTGCATAAACGTCCACAACAACATTCTAAGCACCGGCTACGGACGCTGTGCACGACGGAGTTAATAGCAAAGAATGATGTAAAACATATTGTACATTTTTACTTTGATTGAATGAATTATTCTGTTCAGATGTATCCAGAAGCTTTAACCTCTTAAGACCCAAGCTTATGGAGGAGCGAGATTTATTTATTTTTATTTGTTTTTAATCATTTTTTATGTATTCATTTATTTTTATTATTGTTTTTATTTTTTTTATTTTTGTGTTAAGTTAAAAAAAATGAAACAATAAAAAAGTTTAAAAATTAAGATTAAATTAAATTAAAATAAATAAATAAATAAATAAATAATTTTTTTTAAATACAAATTTAAAAAACATATTATTTTTTATTGTTTTATTTATTTGTCTTTATATTTCTACTTTTATTAGCTGTTTCTTTTATGGATTCATTTTTGATTAATATTGCTTTATATTGCCACAATATTTATTTTTTATTTTATTTATTCTTCTTTTTATTTCCACTTTTATTTTATTATTCCTTTATTGATTTATTTTTGTAATTTGGCATTCTCACTGCTCCATACAAGCTCTTGTTTGATATGCATTTTTTATTTTTTTTATTCCTAGTTGCTATTTGATCAGATCAAATAGCAACGAGGAATAAAAAATAAAAAATATAAAGGAAATAAAAAATATAGAGATGTAAAAAGGAAAAAAAATAATAATAAAATATTAAAAATTAAAATTTAAAAAAATGTACTGTGGCAGTATAACCCAAAATGTGACGCCAGGTCTTTAGAAGTTAAACGAACCTCCATTCCCACACTGTGCTGCTTTCCTTCTCCACAGGCGAGGCTCCATGTGCCTTAAAGGAGAGGACTCGAGCGAAGAGGACCTGACAGACTCTCTGTACTCAGAGATAGACTACATCATCTAGACACTCACTTTGCCCTGTGAGCAGCTAGTCAGCGAGTCTCCTCTGACTCCAGAGCCATTAAAGAAGCGTTGCACTTTCTTTTTGCCAGCTTAATCCAAAAAGCATGGAAAATGGATGAACATATATTTATTCTGTTCGCTGTAACTGAGATTTATAACCCTCAAAAGTTTCTGAAAACGTAGATATAAATGTGACTAACCCAAAACAAAAGCAGGAAAGTTTCTTGACTATTTGCTGCATTCCTATATTTTGTTCTAACTCTATCTAACGCTAACCCCAGCCATTGAACACAGCTCTAAAGATTAAATATCAATGAATTCACCTTCCTGTCGCCCAGTTTCCAGACTTACTGCGTTTACTGTGAACTGGGAGGAAAACCAAACTCATGCTTGGTGCACCGTGTGAGCAATAAAATGCATGTTGTTGGATTTCTCCACAGAAACAAGAAGACCGTCACATCCAAGCACAGCATGTTCTGTTTCTTCCTGTTCTAACATTTAATCGTACTGACCTCATCTCAGATGTTTTGTAGTAAATCTAATTATAGCTGCTTAGAGCTGTTGCATTTCTCTTCTGCACCTTTCACTTGTTAAAGCTGAGAACATGTTCTGGCAAACTTTCCCTCCATCGTCTGCTCTGCTGCCAAAGTCCTCACGCTGCTTTTCCTCCACACAGGTGAAAAACTTATGACTGCACAGAGATGTTCTTATATATGCACGGCAGCTGGAAACGCTGTCCTGGTTTACTCTGCCTGTGTCAGATTTATTTTGTTTTTTTCCTTTTATGTATATATACGTGTATATCTGCACTTTATTCAGAATTTTAATGCACCGCTGTTGTCGTTGAAGCAGCGTTTCATATTTAGCAAAGTCAGAAAGTTATCAAGCGTACGATCGAAGCTTGATTTGAAGAACCTGATGGACGACAGTTGGCTGTTCAGGTCATCAGACGACGACTGCAATCTGTTGTCTGAGAGCAAACTGTGGTGATGTTTCGGTCCTCTGAGCTGAACACACAAGAAACCAGTTAACTGAACGATCTCATGCAATAATAACTGACTGTGGATGTCATTACTGTATGTTTGCAATCTTCTGTATCTAAATCAGTGGTTCTCAAACTGGGGGTCGGGACCCCCATGGGGGTCCCAAGATGATTTCAGGGGGTCGCCAGATCATTGTAGAAAAAATAAATAAAAAATAAATAAAGCCTACATTTATCAAATAAATGTGTATTAGGGCTGTCAGAATTAAAAGTGTGTACTTCTTCCTACTCCTTCTGATTATGCAATATTATTCTTCTTTGCTTTTTTTGTTTTTATACTTTTTTCATTTGTTCGAAATAAATTCAATTCATTCTTTCATTCAAAAGAAAATGAATGTAAAGAGATTATTCTGTGGAATTAACACATTAATTTTTAATGCTTGAACAACAATATTATTACTTATGCTGCATTAAAAATTCCAATTCAGGGCTCACGAACACAAACTTATGTTGTCTTGGGGGTCGTGGCTCAAAAAGTTTGAGAACCGCTGCCCTAAATAACCATTAAGAGTCTCTTAGTGTAGATTTATAGCAAATAGAGCATAAATGAATAAATTACCGTGTAATTAATAAACTGTTATTAAACTGTAATAACCATCAGTTTATTCACCAAAGTCGGGTTTTCTTGCTCTGCTGTCTCTTCGGTTTAAGTGTTTTAGACGCCTTCATGCAAAAGACGAGGCGTCATCAGGCAGCATGAACTGACTGGTGGATGTTATCACTGATACTGTTATGGACCTTTTGCCAGATTAAAAAAAAAGGGGGGAAATTAATTTAAATCATCAAGAGGAGAGTCGGGGGGCGTAACAAGGGCGGCCAGCTGGACTCAAACCAAGACCTTAATTTAACCATTAGGCAATCTGGATGTTCCAGAGAAGGTTTATATGTAATGAAATAGTCTTTTCTAGCAGCCTTATGCACGATTTAGTCTCTTTTTTTGGTGGATCAGTAACTCCCTTATTCCTCGAAACCGTCTTACTTATGCAAATACTTGACGTGTCGACGAGGTTCCAAAAATTACTGCTGAAACATTAGAATACATCAGGGATCTCCAGCTCCGGTCCTCCTCAGCTACTGTCCTGCAGGTTTTAGACGTTACTACAACACACCTGACTGAGAATGGATCATTAACAGCTCGTTGTCAAGCTCTACACGGGTCTGTTGCATTAATGTGAGTCAGGTGTGTTGCAGTAACGTCTAAAACCTGCAGGACAGTAGCTGACGAGGACCGGAGCTGGAGATCCGTGGTCTACAGCATGACACAGCGTTTCACTACGACGCCTGACGAAGCGGTGTACCTACGATAAATACAACCTGCACTCTTCTGTACCACAGCTTGTACCACTCCTGCCCTTTGGAAAAATAAATCTTTTTTTGGGGGGGAACACCAAAACATCCATTTGTGTCGTGTGAGTTAATTAATCTGGTCTTAATTGATCTAACTTGGGGCGGCTGTGGCTCAGGTGGTAGAGCAGGGGTGTCCAATCCTGGTCCTCGAGAGCCCCTATCCAGCATGTTTTAGATGTTTCCCTCTTCCGACACACCTGGTTCAAATGATCAGGATCGTTATCAGGTTTCTGCAGAGCTTGATGATGAGCTGATCATGTGAATCAGGTGTTGGAAGAGGGACTGTGGCCCTCGAGGACCAGGATTGGACACCCCTGTGGTAGAGCGAGTCGGTCAAAGATCAGAAGGTCGGCGGGTCGATTCCGCCCTGTGACCCGCTACCCAAGATGTCTGTGAAGATCCTCAGTCATCCAGGTTGTGGTACATTAATCGTAGCAACTGGACTCGCTTGAAGACGTTCCACCTCTCATCCAAGAGTCTGACTGACCAGTTGGGAGTTCCAGATATCCTTAAGGAGCAACAAACCCCCAATTGAAGCTGAAGCTCAGGTGTGAATGGCTCCTTGAGGATATCTGGAACTCCCAACTGGTCAGTCAGACTCTTGGATGAGAGGTGGAACGTCTTCAAGGAACTCAAGCAAGTCCAGTTGCTACGATTAATCTGCCAGCATTACCCAAGACCCACCTCGCCTGGTGTGAATGAATCGATTGTTTGAGGTGGTGGTCAAAGGGGCAGAATGGCAGCCAGGCCTCTGTCAGTCTGCCCCAAGGCAGCTGTGGCTACATGTGTGATTAAATAATTGACAGCGTCTTTGAGTGCCTAGTGTATAAATCTGATCTATTATTATTATTATTATTATTATTATTATTATTATTATTATTATTAATAATCCGATCTGATTTACAGTGACAGAAAACTGCAGTTATGAAAAAAAGCACTTTAATTCATTTCTAAAATCATCTTTAACTATTTTCACACAGGATCTGAAATCTCAAAGAAATAAACAACAACAACGAAAAAAGAAAAGAAAAAAAAAGAGAGTTTTTCTTCTGATATTGGCATTTCTACAGTGAATAAGCTGGTGGCAGCATCAGAAGCCCAGCGGGGGGTTGGTGGGGTCGGTGGTGGTGGTGGGGGAGGGAGGGGGGGAGGGGAGCCGGGATGCTGAGCTTCAGTCCTCAGAGCAGACTCGGGAGTCCGGCGGGCTTTCTGCAGCGCTCTGGTGTCCGTCTATCAAGCAGCAGCAGGTAGAAGCGCCAGAAAACAACCTCTGACAGAACCCAGAGAGCTCCCTCCCTCCCTCCCTCCCTCCCTCCCCTCAGTACAACACCACACACACACACACACAATCACTCACACACACACTCACACACATGTGGATGACACCCAGTTCACATGGTGCAAAAAACAAACAAACAAAACAAAGATATCTAAATTAAAGGTTAATAGAGACAACAGATGTGTGCCTGAACCCTTATCAGACCGAACTGCATGATCAGGTCTGGAGCAAAGGAATCATTTACAACCAAACAAGGAGCTTCTTAACGTCGTCTACTTGGTTTGTTTACGTTGTGTTGGAGGACCGACAGTCGGCGAATCGCTACGTCTAGTGGAAGTGATGCAGAGCTCCTACAAAGCAGCAGCAGCAGCAGCAGCAGCAGCAGCGACACACCGCTCTGGCATCATAGGAGCATCAAGAGGAGCAGAAACAACCTTTAAAAACTGTTGCTTTGTTTTTTGTTTTTTTTTAATTCATCAAATCTTGTAAATTAATGCTTCAAAGTCACAGAGGTTTGCCTCATCAGACGAGGCAAGAAAGGGCGGGTGAGTAGTTCTGTTGGGTTTCTTTAACAAAGCGGTGCTCGAGGGGGGGGGGGGCGAGCACACGGACTTACGAGACGGCCACAGATGATTCAGAACCAACACTACGTCCAAAAAACAGGAAGATAAACACGCAGTGACGGGGAGGAGAGTGAAAGATGTGAGAGGAGACCGAAGACTTAAATAGACAGGATGGACGCCTGGCAGAGCGGCTTCACAGTCCCAGCAGCTCCGCATCCATCTCTGAAGCTTTTTACTTGTCACTTGATTTGTCTATACAGTATTTGATTCTTTTTCTGTATGAATAGCTTTTGTACTTCCCTTTAAACTTTACAGTACAATACACTATAGTGCACAATAAGGGTTTCTGAGCCGGTCCCGGGGCTCAGAGTGGAGGGTGAGGGCGCGTCGGCCTCACGTCGCTGCTTCATTTCAAGTCACTATCGGGCCCCGACGGTCGGAGTCCCGTAGCCTGGTTGCTCTGCTGCGGCAGCCAGACGATCCAAATAACCCAAAGTGGTTCTGTGCGCCTCAGTCCTGCCCCGGGTCCTTGGCGGGGCCGCCGTCCAGGTAGATCTTGAGGGCCTTCTCCTTGCGTGGCGAGTAGCTGACGCGGTGTCCGGTCTTGAGCAGGCGGCTGCTCTCCTTCTTCATGAGCTCGTTGCGCTCGTCCTCCGACAGCTCCAGAGGCTCCTCGGTGCTGTCCCTGCACACAGAGCCCAGCAACATTAAGCTCAAGTCGCAAATATTTAAAACGTTACGTGAAGCAGAAAAGCAGTTCAGTGAGCAGGCCTTATGTCCATCCAAAAGCCTTCATTTATATTGAATTCAACCTCCTTTCTTAGCGTAGCAGATGCTCTCTATAAATATCCCTGCTGCACAATGTCACAAAAGTCTCTCAAGCTGCTGCTAGCTCTAGCATTAGCAGCCAAACCGTCTGGATCAGAGCCGTCGCTTTGTCGGCCTTTTTAGTCAGTGCCGAGACACTTTATGAGTCACATGTCAATACTCTTATCTGTTAATAATAAGAAATAGCAATAAAATTGAATACAAGCACCAATGTTTGTAGTATGAGGATCTTTTTGTGATGCTTTTCTAAAAGTGCAGTCATGACTCGATAATCCGACACTAAATGTAAAACTTTCTTTTATGTCGGATATCAAGGCTGTTGGATTGTCAAGACGGAGGTCCAGATACAAGGAGGGCTTGATGCTGGAAGGATCATTAGTTGTTAATTATTGTTCATAGTTGTTATAATAACTAGTGTATTGTTAGAACACTACGCATCGCTGGATTTCAGCCTAACTGACCGGTGTGATTGTGCACGTTCCACCCCGGGGAAGGGTTCCGACGGGGAGGAAGTGGCCAGAACACACAGGCAGTACTTGGCTGCTGATGCTAGTTTAGTTAGCGCTCACACTTCTGTTTCCACCATCGGTGGTGGCGGCAGCGACACTCCCCCGCTGCCACCACCATCCATGTTTACTTCCGTAAACACTGAATATTGAATGCACTTCCTGCCTCATTAATAAACACAAAGATGTATACATGTGCAAATATAACATAGGCGACCCTGTGGGGCTGTTTCCCTTTGTGTCTGTCAAATGATTAACACCACGATACAGAGAACAGAAACCACAACTCCTAACTCACCTGTAGAAGACCACAGCTCCGTCATCACAGATGTAGAGAGGCCACACGTTTAGGGTTGACACCTTCGGGTTCCAGTCCAAATCCTGGTGGATCTCCAGCACAGAAATATCACAAGGAAATGTTCCTCGGCCCTGCAGGCAGCAGAGGGGAGGCTCATCAGTGAAGTAGCAGAGAATGAAATACTGGGTCCTGTGTGATGTAACGTAATCCACATACCTTTGCAAACTCCAGGTTTTCAAGAGGAATATCGCTGATCTCACAAAGCTGCAAACAGAATTAAAGACTTTA